TCAACGACTTGCCAACGACAGCATCGTGATTCAGCAGGTGAAGGCACTCAGCAACGTCAAGATGTGCGAGGTTCGGAACCAGGACGACGACAAGCTGGTTTCGGCACAGTATGCGCACGGCTTCAGAAGCATTATTACGAGATTACTCTTTCTGTGTCAGTGTAATGTGCATATCATGACGGAGGTCACTCAGCTTCAGGGCTTCAACAATGAGCCGAAGGTCATGCGCTTGAAGAAGGCAAACTCTGTGTTAAAAAAGGCTCTCGCGAACAATCAACATGTAGGATTACACTATCTCAGAATGGTTGGCCCCTTCTGTATCAAAGCCATTAGAGATGCGAACCACAAGGAAGACGAGCGTGTATCCGCAGGCGGGTCAGGTCATACTGTTGATGCAGGATGTGGAGATTACCCCCAACAGCAGGACCGACGAGATCAAAGACAAGAGTTGTTTCAGCGGTCTCTGCCATCCAATGGCCATTCTATCCAATAAGGCAAAGAAGGTTGCGCACTCTACGTCAATGCGAGAGACTAACTGCGCCCTGAGCGGGGTCAGCAACGCTCAGATGATTGCCCTTCGTATCACCGAGATGCAGATGGACCATAACATTCCTCAGCATGATCGAATCAGAGCTATGATGGATATCAATACCCGGGGAGCTTATGAGATCGCAATCGACCACTACACCGATTGCAAGGATGTGTTCGAACTCGTCACCGGACTACGTGGAGCCCCTCAAGACAAGCAGCAGAGGCTTCCCATCATGGCGCTGCGCGAGGAGCGCATCACGACGAGAACTCGGTGGACGGTACATGTGCCTACAGAAGTGATGGTGGCAGATGCTATGACTAAACCTGGAGTGTTCAAGCCGATGATGAAGCTTCTTACCACAGGTTGGCTAGATATGGAACTGACTACGAAGGCGGCGACGGCACGACGTATTCATCACCGTCCAAGTGACTATACACAATCAGATATGTTGAATATCCAGAAGTTCGACAACACAGGAATATTTGAGGGTGACATTGCAAAGTGCAAGATGGACTATATGGAGACTTCGAGCAGTTACCAGGTGAAGGACATTAACGTTGAGAACGAGCAGTTCTTAGTTCATGAGGCCTGCCGCGGCCAGCCGTTGTTCTCTCGCTCTACCTCCATTCTCTTTCGCCTTGATTGAATTCCGAGCTTCGCCATCGTTCGGTTGCTGCATTTATTTGTTATATCGGATATAGATCCGTTTGTAGTTTCGGTATCAGAACAGATCCCGTAGAAAATAGAAAAAGACTGAGATTGCAAGTGTATGTTTGTTTAGAGTGTTCTCAGATGCAGTAGCAGCAGCTCAGTGTGATGGATAGACAGCAAGGTTGTCCGTACTGAAACGCTTTGGCTTTAAGGAGCGGGTTTCGCGCGTTCATAGACTAAACATTCCAGTCCTTGAAAGGGGGGGGGGGTCCGGACTGGAAAGGGGGGGGGGTCGGACCCCCCCCTCGTGTAGGGAGTACGGAGTTGGGAGTAGGGAGTGGTGAGTAGTGAGTAGTGAGTTAGTGCGTAGTGAATAGTGCGTTTTGGGTAGCGAGTAGGGAGTAGGGAGTGGGGAGTAGTGAGTAGTGAATAGGGAGTAGTGTGTACTGATAAGTGAGTAGTGAGTGGCAAGTAGCGAGAAGTGAATAGTGAGTAGCGAGTAGCGAGTAGTGAGTACTGCGTAGGGAGTAGGATGTAATCAGTAGTGGGTAGTGAGGAGTGGGTAATGAGTAGTGGGTGGCGAGTAGGGATTTGTGAGTAGTGAGTAGTGGGTAGTGCGTAGTGCGTAGTGAGTAGTGAGAAGTGAGTAGTGAGTAGTGAGTAGTGCGTAGTGAGTAGCGAGTAGTGAGTTATGAGTAGTGAGTAGTGAGTACTGAGTACAGAGTAGCACGTAGTACATAGTGAGTAGTGAGTAGTGAGTAGCAAGTATTGATGAATAGACAGTAGTGGGTAGTGGCAGTGTGTAGCGAGTAGTGAGTAGTGAGTAGTGAATAGTGAGTAGCGAGTAGCGAGTAGTGAGTACTGAGTAGGGAGTAGGAAGTAATGAGTAGTGGGTAGTGAGCAGTGGGTAGTGAGTAGTGGGTGTCGAGTAGGGATTTGTGAGTAGTGAGTAGTGGGTAGTGCGTAGTGCGTAGTGAGTAGTGAGTAGTGAGAAGTGAGTAGTGAGTAGTGAGTAGTGAGTAGGGAGTAGTGAGTAGCGAGTAGTGAGTTATGAGTAGTGAGTAGTGAGTACTGAGTACAGAGTAGCACGTAGTACATAGTGAGTAGTGAGTAGTGAGTAGTAAGTAGTGATGAATAGAGAGTAGTGGGTAGTGGCAGTGGGTAGTGAGGAGTGAGTAGCGAGTACGAAGTAGAGAGTAGTGAGTAGTGAGGAGCGAGTAGGGCGTATAGAGTAAGTAACAAGTGGGGAGTAGCGAGTAGTGAGTAGTGAGTAGTGAATAGATATCTGGGAGTAGGGAGCAGGGAGTAGTGAGCAGTGAGTAGTAAGAAGTGAGTAGCGAATAGTGGGTAGTGAGTAGCGATTGTAAGTAGTGGGTAGTGGGTAGTTAGTAGTGACTAGTGACCAGTGACTAGTCACTAGTGAGTTGTGACTAGTAACTAGAGACTATGTGGTGACTAGTAAGTAGGGAGTAGTAAGTAATGAGTAATGAATAGTGGGTAGCGGGAAGTGGGTAGTGACTATTGAATAGCGAGTAAGGGAGTAGCGAGTAGTGAACACTGAGTACTGTGTAGTCAGTACTGTGTAGGGAGTTGGGAGTAGCGAGTAGCGAGTAGTGGGTAGTGAGTAGTGATTTGTGGGCAATGAGTAGTTAGTAGTGAGTAGTGAGTAGTGGATAGTGGGTAGTGGGTAATGAGTAGTGATTAGTGAGTAGTGAGTAGGGAGTAGTGAGTAGTGCTTAGTGAGTAGTGAGTATTCACTAGTGGGTAGTGAGGAGGGAGTAAGTAGTGAGTAGGGAGAAGGGAATAGTGAGTAGGGAGTAGCGAGTAGCGATTAGTGGGTGGTGGGTAGTGAGTAGTGGATAGTGAGTAGTGAGTCGTGAATAGTGCATAGGGCGTAGTGAGAAGTGAGTAGCGAATAGCGAGTGGTCAGTAGTGGGTAGTGAGTAACGAGTAGTGAGTATTCTTTGGGGCTGGGGTTAGTGGTTGGGGTAGAGATTAGGGTTTTGGGTTAGGGTGGGGACTAGGGGCAGGGGCGGCGGGGGTCGGGTTCCGGAGCAAGGAGCCGGCGCGGCGGAGCCAGGGGGTCGCGTTCCGGAGCCGGGGGGGGGCGGGCCACCACGGGACACCACGGGACACCACGGGACATCTCTCGATCTCACGATCGGTCTCACTTTCGATCTCAAATTCGATCTCACTCAACGGGACACCACAGGACACCAAGGGGCACCACATCGATCTCACCATCGATCTCACGATCGATCTCACTATCGATCTCACTCAACAGGACACCACGGGACGCCTGTCGATCTCACGATCGATCTCACTATCGATTTCGCTTTTTGGGACACCACGGGACACCACGGGACACCTCGGGGCACCACATCGATCTCAGTATCGATCTCACTGTCGATCTCACGATCGATCTCACTATCGATCTCACTATCGATCTCACTCAACGGGACACCACGAAACACAACGGAACACCGCGGGACACCGCAAGCCACCGCCGGACCGGCGGGGGAATCATTTGTCTTGACTTCGCCCCAGCAACGGCAGACACCACGGAACACCATGGGAAACCACGAGACACCACGGGACACCACGGGACACCGCGGGACACCGCGGGACACCGCCGGACTGGCGGGATGGGAGAATCATTTGTCTCGACTTCGCCATAGCAACGGCGGGTTCATTTCTCTCGCGCGCCCACGCAGCTTCGCCTCGCCCGCACGCACAGCACGGACGAAACGAAACGATTTCCAGGTTGGGGGTCTCCGTTTCACTGCGATCTCACCCCCCAACCTCCGATCCCTACCCCTGTCCTTATCCCTAACCCGATTCCCCCATCGTGACCCCTCACCGTGGCCCCCGATCGTAACCCCCATCGTGTCCCCCATCGCAACTTTGTAAAGAAGCTTAGGGTTTTCTGCCACAAGGGTGTCGTTTATGATAGAATCCAGACGGTTCAGGGGCCTTCGCTCGCAGGGCTGCTCGAATTTTCCTGGGATGTTCTAGGGTTGCCCGTGCAATGTCAGAAAATGCCCAGCGAAGCCAAGCAATACACATAAGTGCCCAGCCGTCCTAAGCAACGCCAAGCAATGCCAAGCAATCCCAAGCAACGCCAAGCAAAGCCGAGCAACGACAAGCAATGCCGAGCAATGACAAGCGATGAAGAGCAATGCCGATCAATGCCGAGCAATGCCGAGAAATGCCGAGCAATGCCAAACACTGCGAAGCAATGTCAAGCAAACCCAAGAAATGCAAACAATGCCAATCAATGCCCAGCATTGCCAAGCAATGCCAAGCAATGCCAAGCAATGCCAAGCAATGCCAAGCAACGACGAAAAAGCAAAAGCAAATCGCAAGCAACGCCAGGCAAGATGCAAAGCAATGACAAGCAATGCCAATCAATGCTAAGCAAAGCCAAGCAACGCCACGTAACCGGAGGAATGCAGTAAGGAAACAAAACCAAGCACCGCTGGGAAGCGCGCAGTAAGAAAACAAGACCAAGCAACCCTGGGGAAGGCCACAGTAAAGAACGACGACCAAGCCACCCCGAGGAACGCAGGCCAGCGAAGGCCTGGCACCCATTGGCTTTTCAAAAACAAGCAAGGACCCCTTGGGCAAGCCTACGGGAGAAACTGCATTTAAGAAAACCGTATTTCGGAGGTCCGTGCGGGTGTCTTGGATCGGCGCTGGACCCAGGACGCGCTGGAACAGCCGCCAGGGGGAGCTCTGGGGCCGACCCAAGGAATCCGCGCGGACTTACGAAAGTTTATGTTTATGCTGGTGCTTGCGCACTGACTTCTGAGGGAACCTGCTCCACCGTCCAGTCTGCCACGTCGACGTATCTGATGGTCGCAGGTCTGAACGTGTCCAAGCACGCGCAGAGGGTGCCGACACTCTCGCCGTCCTCCAGGAAGGCGGGTCGCGAGGCGACCCAGTTGAGATCCCTAACCTCGTCGTAGAGGTACTGCAAGACCCTGTCATTGTCGTCCACCACGCTTGAACCTATCTGCCACCTCAACAGCACCCAAATCGGCATCAGCATCAACGTTCGGAGATCCGCGTGGATTTCGTGACTCGGCGCTGGACCCCCGCGCCAGGGGCATCCAGCGCCGACCCAAGAAATCCGCGCGGACCTCCGAAAGCATGTTCATACCGATTTTGATCCCTCAAACCTCACCACGTTCCGAGACAGCCGCGCGGAACTCAGCAGCCCCAACCATTCGCCGGGCGCCGCGGACAGCGCGCCGGCCTGCACGATGAGCTTGCGGACTCCGTGCCTGCGGCAACCCTCCACCATGGCGGGAACGGCGGCTGTCATCGGGCCCTTCGCCGTTTCTGGCGCAGCCCCCGCCACACTGATCACCGCGCGGGCACCCTTGATGGCCGACTTGACGGCATCCAGATCCTCCAGGTCCCCGTGCATGACCTCGAGCCTCTCGTGCGCAGCGAGCTCCCCCAACTCGCGGCCCAGCTTCTCCTTGTTGCGCACGAAAGCGCGGACCGCGTAGCCGCGCTGGAGGGCGACCTCAACGATGGCGAGCCCGGTCCCGCCACTGGCTCCAAACACGACCAGCAAGGACCTGTCGGCCTCCAGAGGGGCCCCGCCGGGGCTGCCGATGCCAGCGCCGATTACCGTGGCAGGCCCGCGCCCCGCGACGCTCTCTCGGCCAGGGAGGCCCTCGCCGGCCACGCCGGCGGCCTGGCCCATTGCGGCGAGGCCCTGAGACAGCTGTGGACCCGGGAGCTCGAACCGTCCTCAGATCCCAGAAATTCTTATACAAAACACAACGGGGCGGCGGCTGGCAGCAATGGGCAGAAATGGGCAAAAATATGCGATCAATATGGACGGACTCCCAGTGGCTCCACCTTCTAGGAGCAAGGGGGCAAACTCGGGCAACGAATGAGCAACCTCGATCAAAAACATGAGGAGACCCGAGGGAGGACCGTGTCTGCGTGGCGCAAGAGATGGGCTCAGCGGCGCAGAGCGCGCGCCATCGCCCCGAGGCGGGACGTTTGCAGTGTGGGCGGGTGGAAACAGGAGAAAGCCGGCTCGAGCCCAAGGGGATGCGAGAGCGAGGAGGGGGGAGAGGAGGACAGTCCTCCGGCTCTGGATGGGAATCGGGTTGTTAAAGCGTGCGCAGTAACATGGACAGACTCCCAGCGGCTCAACCTTGAAACAGCAAGGGAGCAGACTCAGACACCGAATAATTCAGCTCAAGTAAAAACATCAGGAGACACGTGGGAAGACCGTTTTCAGGTGGCGCAAGAGATGTGTTCAGCGGCGCAGAGCGCGCGCCGCTGCCCACCACCAAAAAAATCCGCTCCAACTGTCCCCTCCTCTGCTCCAACCCTTCAGGGCTTGGCATGCCCAGTCAGTGGAGACACGACTACGGTAGGGTGGCCTGAGACACCTGCTGCAACAACCTGTAAGGCATGAGGCCGCCTCACAACTGCCTGGCTAGTACTGGGAGGCAGCCAACGACAGCAGGGTGGAGAGATGAGCCGTCTGGCGCTGCGCGGATGCCGCCTCGGGGGCCGGGCGGCCAGGGCCGCTGACGGGGCCTCCAGGGAGGGCGCCGGGGCAGCCGGGCGAGCGGCTAAGGGGGCCGCTGGGGAGCTGCCGACGCCGCCAGAGAAGTCGTCGGGGCAGCCAGGCAAGCGGCAGAAGCGGCGGCGCTGGACGTCCTTGCTGTCCAGGCACCGTCCCCGCCAGGGGCATCGCGTCCGCCGCCGCCGCCGCCCTTGGCGCTGTCCTGGATGGCCTCTGCCGTCTGCTGGGTGTCCGTGGCGCCCAGTCCGGGTTGCCCGCCGTGGCTTCCTTCGCCCCTTTCGTCAGCCATCCCTCCGCGGGTTCAATCGTCTCCGATGACCTCGCACCCCCCCCCGAAAAGTGGTTTAGGGTGGGCGGTGGGGTCTGCGAGGGGGCCTCCGTTGTATGAAGGCACTGGGCCTCTCCCGCCAGTGGGGTCCATCTGGGTTCTGATGGTCACCCGGGCGGACGGTCTCCTCGGTTTGGCTTCCTGGCGGCCTCTTCGTCGTCGATCACTCGCCAGTGGGTCTCCTGAGTTGCACCATGCGTGGCGGTGTCCGCTGCGGCGGCGCCGGAGCCCATCACTGCCCAGACGCCTCCGTGGAGGACATCCACTGTCCACCCCACTGGGTCGGCGCCCAGTGTGGCGGCGGCGCTGGCGTCGACGCTGGCAGGTACTGGGGACGCTGGCCGGGCGGAATGTTTGAGAGGCGAGGGCGAGTAAACCACACATGTGGGCCGCCGCAATCACAGGGTCCCCCCCCATACAGCAAGTTTGCGCTAGCGGGGGGGCGCCCGGCGGGTCTGCGCTGGCGGTCGCAACTGCAGCATCAACCGCGCACCAACGGGCGCAGACGGTCGCGGCGGCGGAGACAGGGGCTGGCTGGGGCAATTGCAAATGGCGCCGCGCGGGGCGGAATGCAAGCACGGCTTAGCTGGCTTCTGCCTGCGAGCAGGGGATCGGGGAGGGGAAGGGAGGAGGGGATAGATTGCCGCTGGCGAGGAACACCGAGGGGGGATTGCATTACCGCTGGCGAAACACGGCAGGGGGGTGGGTTCATGGCCGCTGGCGAGGCACGGAGGGTGGGGGGGTAGGTTGCCGCTGGCGCATCCCGGAAGAAAAGCAGCAAGGGCGGGACCGACCGCCGACGCTCGCGCTGGAAAATTGAAGATGCGGCGGACCCCCTTGCCACTTTCGCTGAAGTGTGTGGCCGACTTTCATAATGCCAACAAAAATTAAAACAAAATTAGACAGTTGCTAAACGTGGACTACTTGGTAACTGTCTGACAGGCATGCGGGCATGTCGAAACTATCAAACAAGGGGAGTCCCATGCTGATCATATCCGAGCTACGTTTCACTTCTGGCGCCGAATGACCCGTGCGGTCGAACGCCCGCGTACCTTCGCATCTGGTGCGCGCAGTGCGCGACGCTTGGTCCAGTACACCGACGGCGTTGCGCAGCGTCGGAGGCGGGGCTGCGCTGCTCGCGCACGGCCACGCGCGAGGATGCCTCGACTCCTCCACCAATTCTGATTTTGACCTCGGTGCCCGTGCTGCGAATGACAAAAAAGCCCTCCGACGTCATTATCGGCATAGGCCTTCACGTAGAAGCTGTCCGTAGTGACGCCACCCCCGCCTGCACCGACAACAGCAGCATCGGCATCGTCTCAAACAACGCGCTTGAAACGTTGGAAAGGCTAGATGGAAGCCGCAACTCGCAACCCGGATGGAACAACGCGACGACTTCAGTCGAAGCAGCTTGGGCCAGAACGGAGTGTCGAGCAGCGAGGTCCTCCTCCTTCTCCTCCTAATCCTCCTCCTCCCTCTTGCTCCTCCTCCTCCTCCTCCGCCTCCTCCTCCGCCTCCGCCTCCGCCTCCGCCTCCGCACCCGCACCCACACCCGCACCCGCATCCTCCTCCTCCTCGTCCTCCTCCTCCTTCTTTTCCTGCTCCTCCTCCTCCTTTTCCTCCTCTTCCTGTTCCTGCTCCTCCTCCTCCTCCTCCTCCTCCTCATCCTCCTCCTCCTTCTCCTGCTCCTGCTCCTCCTACTCCTCCTCCTCCTCCTCATCCTCCTCCTCCTCCTCCTCTCCTCCTCCTCCTCCTCCTCTCCTCCTCCTCCTCCTCCTCCTCCTCCCCCTCCTCCTCCTCCTCCTCCCTCCTCCTCCTCCTCATCCTCCTTCTCCTCCGCCTCTTCGATTATCCTCCTCCCTCTCCTCCTCTCCCTCCTCCACCTCCTCCTCCACCTCCTCCTCCTCCTCCTCCTCCTCCTCCTCATGCTCCTCCTCATCCTCATCCTCCTTTTTTTCTGCTTGGTCAAAACATGAGTGGCATGATCTGTTGTACTACAACTCCTATTGATATTGCCTATCATATATGCCATATTCGCAGTAGTAGTACTATCGTTAGCAATATCAATATTATTGGTATGCTTCCTGGTATGAAAAACCTAGCTGTACGATTTGTATAATTAGTATGATGCATCATGTTATGCATGGCAGTGGTATCATTCGTCGTATTATAACTGCTACTATTGCTATGAACAATAGTATGTTTATCATCATCCATATGATGTTTACTATTATTCGTTTGCGTCGCCGTATTTCTCGTATTAATAGTGTTGTTACAAAATACGTATGTCACTATTGGTAGTAGTATGCATTTTAGTCGTAGTAGTACCTTTCGTATTCCTGGTACTCTCCGTATTACGATTAGTGTTCGCAGCATTATTATTATTAGTATTATTATTAATATTATTAGTAGTAGTAGTAGTAGTAGTCGTAGTAGTAGTAGTAGTAGTGTTATTGCTATTAGTACTACTACTACTATTAGTAGTAGCATTAGTATTGTTACTATTATTTCGATTATTAATATTATTCTTAGTATTATTTTTACTAGTACTATTATTATTATAAATATTAATATTATTATTGTTATTGTTATTGTTATTATTATCAGCATCATTATTAATATGATTATTCATACTATTATTGTTATTACCATTATCCATATGCGCAGCATTACCACTCGTATTCGTATTATTCGTCTGCTTCTCATTCCCCAATCAGAGCTTGCCTCTTTAGGGGTTCTAACGGATTCATATGGTTAGAATACGTTTGTCGCCGACTTCCGCTGCACGCCCGATTGCCCGGGTGCCCAGGGGTGCCCGGGGCCCAGGTGCCCGGGGGGGGCCCGGGGGGCCCAGGGGGGCCCGGGCGCCCGGGCGTGCCCGGGGATGCCCGGGGGTGCCCGGGGGGGGCCTATAGCCCTATAGCCCCAAGCCCTATAGCCCTATAGCCCAATAGCCCAATAGCCCTACAACTCTATAACCCTATAGCTCTATAGCCCTATAGCTCAATAGCCCTATAGCCCCATAGCCCCCTAGCCCCATAGCCCTGATTGGGGTTTTTCTCCGGTGTCACTATTGTTTTTTAATGCATTGGTATACCTATTAGTCGATTCTTCTTAGTACGACCATTAATCCTCTTATGTTTATTACTGTCAGTGTTCGTAGCCGGCTTTTTCTTATCATCGGTATGATTAGTATTGTTATGTTGTTTCTTATCACTCATCGGATTCTTACTGGTTGTGCATTATTCAGATTCGTGTTCTTCTTGTTATTCGATTTAGTAATCGCATTCGTTGTCGTATCAGAGTTGCTCTTATTCGTATGTTTAGTCATATTTAGAGTGTTGCTAGTAGTGTTTCTCTTTGTCTTCCGTTTTTTTTCGTTTTGGTATTACTAGTAGTCTTGCTCGTGTTCGCCGTCATCTTCCTACTCTTATTATTAATGGCACTTGTATTCTTTTAAGTAGTAGCATTCCTCGTTATGTTATTGATACAATTGTTATGCGTTTTCCTTTTTGTATATAGTACTAGTACCATTACCACAACTATTATTATCATTATTATCATATTATTCGTGATACGTTTCTGATCATCCTTATTATTAGTAGTAGTATTACAATTCATCATGTTCCTGCTCCTCCTCCTCCTCCTCCTCTTCCTCCTCCTCCGCCTCCTCCTCCTCCGCCTAGTCCTCGAGGACGACGCCCGCGAATTACACGTCCCCTGCGCAGACAACTGGCGCAACATGGCACAAACCATGAGCAAGCAAAGCGCATTGTCCTTGAAGACGCCGACCAATCTCTATACTTTATTCAAAGGTCGCCAGAATTACTTCAAACGTTATGTTTGACACTCTGGGGCGATGATGCGGGGGGCGCACAGCCTAGCCCTCCCTATTCTGGCATTAGATAAAGCATTCCAAAATTCAAAACGTTACGATCACCTGCTTGGGCCGCCCAGGGTTGGCCCGTCGCCAAGCTAGCGCTGGCAGATAGGTGTGAAGCCAATGGCTGCAAAATACCATGCGTTACCATGTAAGCGATGGCGCCCTCCATGCAAACCAATCAGCACGCCTTGAATGTCTGTACTTCCAAACTTCCCTGTAAACCTGTACAGCAGATATTCACCGAACTGTTATACTCCGTCATATTCCAACGTGCGACATTGCTTCGCATCGCCTTGGAAAAGTCGCTCGCCCGCTGCTGCATTACACTCTGGCGCGGTAAATTTACCACATAGCATCTTCATTCGGGCCAGGTAGATGTCCATCCGTGGCTCCAGTTTGACATGTAGAGTCTGAAGCGTCGTGCGATGATAACTGTTTGCTCGTGCCAAACCATGAAATAGCTCGGGGTCTCGCCTGGCGTAGCATCAGCAGCGTTCGCAGCAGCAGAATCGGCTTGCCTAGACGCTCTCCGATAGCCTAAGGACTTGCCGGCTTTGAGC